GTCAATAGGAAATCTGGTACTAAATAACACTTTTCTGAAAATTTATCTTTATGTTTCTCCAAATTCTATGTATATTTGTTTGCTCTACAACTAAAATCTGTTAATATCACAAGCTTCCTACTTCATCTATGACAAAAGACTTGTATGTCAGCCAGTAGGTTGATGCATTTAGATTAACCTAATATATATCTGGACATGGTGGCTCAGTGGCTAAGACGCTGAGCTTATCGATCGAAAGGTTGGCAGTTCAGCGGTTCGAATCCCTAGTACCGTGTAATGGGTGAGCTCCCATTACTTGTCCCAGCTTTTACCAACCTAGAAGTTCGAAAGCATGTAAAAAATGCAAGTATAAAAAAAGGGACCACTTTTGGTGCGAAGGTAACAGCGTTCTGTGTGCCTTTGCCATTTAGTCATGCCGGCCACATGACCATGGAGACTTCTTTGGACAGCGCTGGCTCTTCAGCTTTGAAACTGACCTGAGCACTGCCCCCTAGAGTTGGGAACGACTAGCACATATGTGCAATGGGAACCTTTACCTTTACCTAATATCTATCTATCTATCTATCTATCTATCTATCTATCTATCTATCTATCTATCTATCTACAATCCTGGCTTACATAACATGCTAGAGAAAGCTAAACAAGAACATATAATGACTTGTTATAACCATGTTATATAAATATAGGTTAAGATTTGAGAAGTGCCTGTTAGCCTGACCTGATATTGTGTCAGTTTAAAGTATGTTTGAGAAGTGCAAAATTTGAAGGAAAATTGAATTTAGATTGCAATTTAGACCACTTTAATGCAAAAATAGATAAGTTGTGTTCCAATGCAAACCTTCGCTTCAGAGGCATCAATTTCATAGGAAGAAAAAAAAAAAAGAAAGAGAGCAGTATGGGGAGCGGATTGCCCCCTTTTGGCTTTGACTTTACCCAGTGCCATCATGAAGCTACAGAGAGGTTATTTTTTTTCAGGAAAGTACCTCTCAACAACAACAGAAATTTTCTCTGCATGACATGCATACAGTATCTCATTGCAATAGGTATGACTGTCGCAACATAGTTCACTTTAATGAAAAGGTGAACTCTGCTTTGGTATGTTGAATAACAGCTGTGCTATTGCCTTTATAAATTCTTCCCCTGCTACTGTCTGAGCTATATATTGATGGCCTATCTAGAAAAGAAGATGAGAAAACCAAGATAGTCCTGGAATAAATTGGGGAGTGATTAAAATGCAAATAAACCAGAGTTCCATTTGGATTGGTGGGTGTAAATTTGTAGATTAAAAAGGGACCCTGCTTCCCTTTACCAGATGACAGGTCACTGTTTCTAATCTCAGGGTCATGTACAAGTTCTTCTCTTAGTAATTGCTTAGGTTGACATCTATCTTGACCTTTATTTACTTTGTTCCCCCTGACAGAATCAGTGCAGGTGAAGAGGCCATACAAACTCAGGAGGAAAAACTCATAGAATGTAATGAGGGCTAAGGAAAAAAGGATGCAAACCATTTTAGTCTTGGATAGAGATAGAAATACAATCTGAATTGAAGCCTAGTCTGGTAATCTTTCAGAGCACAGATTTCTTTCATGTTTTCTTGGAATTTTCCTTTCAATTTTGTTTTTAATAATGTTGGTACTCCCGTTACATTGCTTTTAATAAGGTCAGTAAAGTCACATCATTACATATCTATGGACAAAATAATCAGAGAAAACTTTCAGTGAGTATTTAGGAACTGGTAGCAAATTACAATGAAAGATGAATTAATAATCAAGAGAGACAATATTATTATTTCTTTATTTCAATAGACACGCATGTACATTTTTTAAAAAAAAGTGTTATTTTTTTTTTAAAATCACACTATTGGAGTAACATGCATGTATTGTTACTGTTACCATTTAACTTCTGCTTTACAATGGCTTTTATCTGCAAAGACCCCATTCTCTAAAAAGACCCTAATACTGGGAAAGGTAGAAAGAAATAGAAGAACATGACTAGCAGGAAAGAGGATGGACTCAGTTACAGAGGTGATGAAGGAACTATTGAAAAACATGAAAGAGCAGGTTAGGTAGATCATCTTGAAGAAAATCTATGTGTTTGCAAGGAGTTGAAAATGGTTTGATGGCACATAATCAATAAATTCCAATAGCTACTGTTAATTTATTTGTTTATTTATAAAATTTATATGCTGCCCATCTTACCTCAAGGTAACTCTTAATATTGCACTACCACTGTATGTAGGTCTGAAATTCACTTTCCTCTGATTTCACCCAATGCTTTTACATTTATGGAGATATATACTTTTAATTTACAATATCTGCATATATGCTTATATATCTGATCAAGTGGTCCTCAAATCAACATTTGTTGATTTGTTGTTTTTCCTCTGGTAGACCAATGTCCTGGAGACAAAAGTGGTAATCATACAGTCACTCTATCTACCATTTATTAATGTGAACAAAGAGGATATAATCTGAGATTTTAATTAACAGATATTTTTTCTTGAGAACAAAGGGGCAGGCTAAATGTCTGGATCAATTTTATCTAATTTTGATACTAGGATTCTATGACTCATTTTAGCATTTTTTAAATAATTCCTTTCTTCCCATTCAACAAATGATTTCCAGACATTTAGATTTGACCAATCTAAAATTTCTCAACATCTACATCTATAAATGAAACTCTGAACTGCCAGTTGAATTTGTGTGAATAATGCCTAATAATGCCAAGTATTGGCATCCAAACAATTGTGGGGAGCAATTATTCATAACTAGGGCTGTTTCCAAAAATCAGGACTCCTCCCTCCTTGTGCAATATGCCAATGCCTCTGACTTATTGTTCATAAGTATAGGTTGTCATTTTACTGTCTTAAATAATTCTGTAATTGATTAATCATTGCTCAAAAGAATAATTATCTCTTTTCATAAAGACACAATGGGATTATCATGTACCACCATTTTTCCCTCCCACTCTCTTGTAGTTTAGTAGTGCTTTCAGGATACAAGGATTCCATCTTGGGTGCAAGCATTTTTTACCTCGTGTCCTGGAAATGATTTGGCTGTAACACCTACTTTTCTCTAATAAAAGATAAATATTATTCCAAGCACTATGATCTTCCTGAATCAAAATTTTTGTAGGTATATAGTCAATCACAGTTAGCTATCTGATATAAGCTTCTGGAGGGAAAGGCTTAAAAAAATCAAGATGGCAGCCACCAAGCATGCAGGTCTTCAACCACAGTCCAGCAGAAGAGGTATGCTCCAGGGCTCATCCCTTAAGGAGGAAGATAAACTTTTCTTTTTTCTTTTTTATGAATTGTATAAGACAAGAAACAGCCAATACTCTGTTCAAAAAAGATGTGGGCAAATGTGTGTGTGTATGTGGGGGGGAACCAATACAACTTAAAAAAAAAAGATAAACTTTTCTCTTGTGGAGTCCAGCAGGGCGGTTAAAATAAACCAGCATTCAGCCAACCAGTCAACTTTTTAAGAAAGAAAACATAGCATTCAAAAAATGAAGTAAAACCCAGGCATACTTAAGAAAAGAAACTGCTGACAAGAAGATGTATGCCCAGTGGTTTTTTGACTGCTCTCAGAGGAAATCTTCAAGACTCCTAGGTGGGTCCATGACTGTTCAAAAGCTGTCTTGGGTCATTCCTAAGTGGTCCCATTCAAATCCAGGGAGCAGCACTGCCAAAGAACCAGCTTTAGCAGCAAAACCAGCAGATCATCAGCAAGATAAAAAAAATCCCTTACTGTTCAATAGGCATTTGGGGAGGAGTATTTCTGAATACTTCCTGCTTTTGAAAATAGAAAAAATTCCAGCCTTTAAGACAACTTAAATGCCCCAAGCAATTTAATATAAATCAGGCACGTTGAAGATAGTTTATTTCCTTTTCATTTTAGAATAAAACATATAAGAGCTGAGTTTAAAAAAGAAACTGAACAACACTCAGGTTAAACACTGGAAAAAACTCGTATCCAATTAAAAACATAGAGAATTAAAAATTGGGGAAGATAAAATAGGATAGGATCAGGGATGGTATTCACTTATATTCGCTACACTCACACGGACCTCCTCCGCACATGCGCAGACCATGTCAAAAATGGGATGTGATGATGTCTGGGTGGGCGGGCAGAGCCTCCTGCAGCTGGCGCTATCGGATCGCGCGATCCGGATAGAGCCTGCTGAATTTCACCACTGGATAGGATTTAAAATACAATCAAAAGATCAACATTGAAATCAAGGGAACCATAAATTTTCTTGAGAAATGCTCCTCTCCCCAACTCCTGTATTAAAACAGTGTCAACATAATATTTAATCTGTTATTCCCATCAGCTAAAGGAAGTTCAAATATGACATACAGGAACAAAGAGTTAAAAATAAGTGGAAGCCAAAGATTTGACTGATTAAATTGGTGGGATAGATGGCTTAAGATATACTGCTTGTATCTTTGCTAATGATTCACTGCAAAGAAATGTTGCTAGCTCTTTGGTTGTATTCATTTCAAAACATGATTCATGAAATACATAAGTTGCTCATCTGGGTGGGATAAAAGTATACAGATATGGGAACATTTTTGTGCTATTCTAACATATGCCATTTGTAATATGTACACCAAATGAGGCCACCCATTTTAGCTCTCTCTTGAATTTTTTTCTTCCCCATTAGCTAGTTTCTGGAGATAGAGAAATCACACTTGGAAAAGATAAGGACTGATAGTTTTCAGAATGAAGGCCATGGACATTAGGTTTTGGATTATTTGTTTTTAGATTTGCAGCATCTAGCATATGTGATGTCCAGTTTTTTAAATAGCCCCTTTCTTCCCTCATTGTTTAGAGCAGGGTGGCTCAATTTTAAGATGTATGGACTTTATCTCCCAGTTTCCCCGGCCAGTGTTTATCAACCTCATCGACTTTCTTAGAAGAATAATCAGCATATGCTCTGGCATACATTTTATCTTTCATATTTCCACATTTTGTCACAATCTGTACAATCAATGATATTGTTTTATTTCTTTATTTCTTTTGATTGATTATATTTTTATTTCGAAGATCTTAAAACTTTGCTTCCATGAGGAATTTGTACAATTGTTCCCTAATTTGCACATTCTCTTGCCTCTCTGTTCTTTTTTGATACATAGGTGCCACAAATACTCCATATTTACTCACACAATAATTGATATAATGTAATAACAATATATAGCTTTTCTATGGCATTTTCTTCTATCTTTACTTGCAAATGGATCAGTTGCTCAGCAGGTCAATTGTGTTGGCAGTAGGCCATTCTGTCCAAAGGCATAAATTGGAATGTACTCTGGGTGATACAGTTTTCCACTTCAGCATTAAAACATGAGCATGCTTGGGAGAATGGATTTATCTCACTTCTTAATCTAAATTGAAATATATGAAAGACTTTTGTGGTGGGAGAGACAGAGATATAACCCCTAGCAATAATTGACTGGGCTGCTGTAGTAGCAAACCAGCCAACTAGCCAACCAATAAAAAATTGACACTGATTGTATTACTTGAATCTTACAAAGACATTAAATTAAGCACATATTTTAACTAGTTGTAGTAGAAACAAGCTCCCAAAAGAACTGTCTTAAGACAGTTACTGTACTTGGAAGTACAGTATAGTACTTGGAAGAGGCATATATTGGGAGGTGGCCATAGTGTTAGAGGAGTTGCCTAAGGCTCAATTTATTATTTTGTTCATTGAGGTGAAGTAGGTGATAGAATTCCATTGTTAATGCTGAAGAAAGGCTATCTTATTGATTGAATGTAACAAACTTTAAAACGACATTAACATTCTTTGCAGTAAGCAGCAGATATCATGGGAAAAGACACTGGGTGAAAAGAATGAGGAGAACTGCAAAATAAATTTGAAGGTGGGTGAATGGATTAGGAAAATAAGCATCGTACATTATTTAAATGCAAGGAAGGATAAAAGTCATGTATGATTGAAATGGCTAGCACAAATCTCAACTGCAACCATCTAATATTACAATTACAATGACTTGTAATGCAGGTAATTGTAAGATATTTTCCATGTTGTGTGCCACTTGTGCCCTTATCTGAACTGTGAGGCCCTGCACAATCACTCATGCCCTAGTCATCTCTCAGTTGGATTACTGCAATATCTTCTACATAGGGATATCCTTGAAGAGTATTTGGAAGCTACAGCTGATGCAGAATGCAGTGGTGCATAGATTCTGGGGACCCTAGGGTGGCACTTGTAACACTGCTATTGTACAAGTTGCATTAATTATTAGCTTGCCTCTGGGTCCAATTCAAGGTATTGTTTAATACAGCCCTATATGGTATATGTCCAGGGTATCTGAAGAGCTGTTTCATCACAAAGGAACTAGCCCACCTTACTTGCACCTGCGAAAGAGGCCTGCTATAGACCTTGTTTGCTAAGTTATTTTGACAGGTGGCGTCAAGGGGAACCGAGCCTGTGGAACACTCTACCACTGGAAATGAGAATTGGTCCCACTCTTTTGGCCTTCTGGAAGGGTATTGAAACTTGGTTTTGCTGGGTGGCTTGTGGCCCCGAGAGGGGCATTCACTGATGAAAGCGATTGACAGACTAAGACCAGCACATTCCTATGCCATTCATCTCTTAGTCCTGGTTTTTATTTATTTTATTTTTATTAGATTAGATTTATATACCTACTCCTACTCCCGCAGGACTCAGGGTGGCGAACAGACAGATAAAACACATAAATTACAAAATTTAAAAACAGTATAAAATCTGATTAAATAATTTGGCCCGTGACAATTTAAACAACCCTAATATTTTAAAGACAAATTTAAATTCATCATTTGAATTAAAAAGGGAAAAGAAAAAGTTAGGCCAGGCCGGCCTGTTTTGTTTAGCCTTAAAATTTTAATCTGCAGAGTTTGGTGTATCATACATGTAGTATATGCAGTCATGGTAATTTATCATAACGGTTGTCAAATAAGAAGGCTAACACTGGGAACAATCCTCAGGAAAAAAAGACGGGTAGAGAGAATTGCAGCAATTGAATTAATTAAATTAAAGATTGTTAATTTTTTAAAAATATTATCTAGCTTTGTAATAACTACAGTTATTGTCACACAATGGCATTACTGGTTTCTTCAAAATAGATGTGCTTAGATTGAAAACACTCTATTGAATCTAGGCATATAACAGGAAGATATAATCCATTGATATTAAAAATAGAAGCTTACCTTTATCTCTGGGCTAAACAGTACAAATCCAGGAGAATAGGTGAATATTTTGAAGTCAGAATGAAGGGCAATGCTGTGGTTGAAGTGGATTTGTCAAAGCATTATGGGTGATACTTTAGATATGGTTTAATATTAGGTCTAATAGAGAGAGCATGAAAAAAACAAGTTAAAGATAACATTTTCTGCATCTTTAAGCACTGAGCAAAATAAACGTAACGTTTAAAAAAGAAATAGTAGTTCGTCATCTTGCTCTAAGTATTCAGAATTTAAAAATCCTATATCATCACGAATGCTTATCTATTGAAGAGTTTTCACTCGGTCAGGCAATCTGCCTGCAATAGCAAAATCTATTAATTATCAATAGAAACTGTTCTAATATCACCTTATGAAAGATTGCTTGAAGGGACAATCTGAAAGGAAATGACACTTTTCTGGTTTCCCCAGTTCTTTAAAAATAATATCCATGATTCCTTTTCAAAATGGCTAGTACTTCAAGTTCACCTTGACTTTTGATACTTACACCAAGTAGATATATTAATGAACATTTTAGGGTGAATTATAAAATACTTAGCTTTTGCTTTGGTTTTTCTTCTTCTTCTTCCCAGGTCTACAGCCCTTTGATCTGCTGCTGGTCTCCCATTCGTTTAGTAACTAGATCAATCCTGTTTATTTTTTCAAGATCAGCCAAGGTTGGTTAGATGCTGCTATATAGTTGAGTTTTACAGTAAAAGACAATATGAGATAATATTATGCTTTACTGTGCTTCAGGTATCTGAAATTATTTTGGCCTTTTTATTTGCAATCTATCAGAAATGCAGTTAGAATCAGAGGTGGGTTTCAGCAGGTTCTGACCAGTTCTGGAGAACCGGTAATGGAAATTTTGAGTAGTTCGGAGAACCGGTAGTAAAAATTCTGACTGGCCCCGCCCTCATCTATTCTCTGCCTCCCAAGTCCCAGCTGATTGGGAGGAAATGGGAATTTTGCAGTATCCTTCTCCTGGAGTGGGGTGGGAATGGAGATTTTAGAGTATCCTTCCCCTGCCATGCCCACCAAGCCACGCCACGCCCAAGCCATGCCCACAGAACTGGTAGTAAAAATTTTTCAAACCCACCACTAGTTAGAATGCTTTTAAATTGCATTTTGACCATATTTGTAAGCTATCTTTATTTATAAAATGAGGACCCAGATTGTTGGGGGCAATATGCTGACTCTGTAAACCGCTTAGAGCGGGCACTGTGAAGCAGAATATAAGTCTAAGTGCTATTGCTATTGTTTGAAGATTTTGTTTTCTCTGATGCATCTTTCTATCACTGTATAATTTCCCTGCGCTTCTAAAAATAACCCATTAAAAAATTTCTCACGATCTCTTCTTAGGTTTTAACTGAATTATGAGAAGATGCATATCTCTGAAGGGAGCACTGTTCAATGGAGCTCTCTTATAAGAGAAATCGCTTATAAGAGATTTCTTAATCTCTTATAATTAATATATAATCAGTACCCTGTCAGTGTTAGCGTAACATATTTTTAATCCTGTAAGAGAGAAATAAGTTTCTTTTCCACCCAAAGAAATGATAATGAGGGAAAGAAATACAGTGCACATGTGTGTGTGTGTGTGCACACGCATGTGTACACACGTGTGTTTATGTGTGTATGTGTCTGTATAAACATTTAGTAGATATTTCAATGTCTAAAAACTAATCACATGTGGATAAAATTATTTTCTGTATCTGGCCTAAAGATATAACTTAGATTATTCTTAAACTGGACTAATTATACACAGTATACTCTCATTTTTGCGGTATGCTTATTAAAATGGAATGAAACATAGAATTTAATTCCTAAATAAAATGCAATGTCAGGATATATAGTGCCATAATTTACGATCACATAATCAAAAATGAAAGATAAGATTCTGAGCAAAAGCAAGAATTACTGCTACTTGGGACACTTAGTGATATAGAATGAGCAATTAAGAGCAGTTAAAGGTGCTCAGATAAGCTACTGACCTTGATCTTTTGTCTCTTTTTAAAATCTGAAAAGCCTCTTGTGCCAACATTGGAACACCACTTCTCTTGCTTTTCAGATAAGGAAACAACCCCCTTTGCATTCCTTGTAGTAACTAGCTGAGCCAATGCTACAAATAGTCCAAACTGAATGTTCTGTGGACACCTCTTCAAAGCTGTCAATTATTATTAACTTCAAAAGAAAGCTTTACCAAATCTCAGATTAGGCTACTGTGAAAAAAAAAAGGACTAAGGGTAATAGTTAATTTTACTGGAAGCCAGTTTTTCCATCCAGGGCCTAATTTTCAAATACAGTGCTCAGACGCAACTTATTTACCTTTTGTACTTTATTATTATGAAAACTAGATGAACAATACTTGAAATAATAACTTGAAATAACACGGTCATAGAGAAGTGGGGACAAACATAATAAGTAATACAAAATAGTATCCTTCGCTTCCCTTAGTTTTATTGTCTGACATTTATAGTTATATAAAAGTGAGGTAAGCTACCTTGTTGACCTTGTCCCATCTGCCATAGGTATATAATCTAATGCCAACATTATGGTAAAAAATATTCACAATCAGTTCCAAACATGGTATGGAAGAATTGTTGCTTTCTAAACAATGTAGAAAGTTATCCTAAAAGAAAAAGGCATGATTTTTCTTTTATTCATGTTGAACATGCAAAATAATAGTTATTTTGAAGATACTTATTATAGCTTGCTATTCAGACACATGAACAACTGTTCAGACTGGCTGGAACATTGAAGTTTAAACTGTTCCTAGCAATAAACAGCATACAAGTAGTCCTTAACTTACGACTGTTTGTTTAACAATGGTTCGAAGTCACCATTGGTATCAGAAAAAAATGACTTATGACCCATCCTCAAAGTTATGGCTGTTGCACCATTCCCTGTCATATGATCGCAATGAGTCCTGGTGGCGCAGCAGACTAAGGCACTGTTATTAACATCAGCTGCCTGCAATTACTGCAAGTTCAAATCTCACAGGCTCAAGGTTGACTCAGCCTTCCGTCCTTTCTAAAGTAGGTAAAATGAGGACCCGGATTGTGGAGGCAATAAGCTGACTTTGTATAAAATATACGAAAGTATGAAGGCTATTGCTTAACACATTGTAAGCCGCCTTGAGTCTCCGGAGAAGGGCGGCATATAAATCAAATAAAAAAAAAATTCGGGTGCTTAGCAACTGCCTCACATTTATGATGGTTGTAGTGACTTGCAATCACATGACCTTATAACAACAACAACAACAATAACAACAACAACAATAATAATAATTTTATTTATATACCGCCCTTCTCCCGAAGGACTCGGGGCGGTGTACAGCCAAGATTAAAAACATAAATATACAATATCATAATTAAAATTAATTAAAATCATTAAATAGTTTTGGCCAAATTTTAAAAACCCAATATTAAAACCCAATTTAAAATCATTCAGTTAGACAGCCCCATCTGTCAGAACAGTAGGGTCTTGAGGGCACAGCGAAAGACCCGGAGGTCAGAGATGTTACGAATATCCGGGGGCAATTCATTCCAAAGGGCAGGAGCTCCGACAGAAAAGGGTCTCCTCCTGGGTATCGCCAGCTGACATAACTTGGCCGACGGTACCCTGAGTAGTCCCTCTCTGTGGGAGCGGACTGGTCGGTGGGAGGCTATTGGTGGCAGAAGGCGGTCCCGTAAATATCCTGGTCCTATGCCTTTAAAGGTGGTGATCAACACCTTGAATTGCACCCGGAAGACCACTGGGAGCCAATGCAGCTCGCGCAGGAGAGGTGTTATATGGGCGTAATGAGGTGCACCATAACCACCCGTGAGGCCGCATTCTGGACCAGCTGGAGCCTCCGAGTGCTCTTCAAGGGAGCCCCACGTAAAGAGCATTACAATAGTCCAGACGGAAGGTGACAAGGGCGTGAGTGACCATGCACAAGGCTTCCCGGTCCAGAAAGGGACGCAACTGGCATATCAGGCGAACCTGATAAAAAGCCCCCCTGGCTACAGCCATCATATGCTCTTCTAAAGACAGCCGTGAGTCCAGGAGGACACCCAGATTGCGAGCCGTCTCTGTGGGGGGCAAATATTCACCCCCAATAGTCAGTGATAGCACCACTGACTACACCGGGATGCCGGAAGCCACAGTCACTCAGTCTTGGAAGGGTTGAGCTTGAGCCTATTTCTCCCCATCCAGACCCGCACAGCCTCCAGGCAGCGGGACATCACATCAAGAGCATCATTGGGGTGGTTTGGGGTGGAGATGTACAGCTGGGTGTCATCAGCGTACTGATGGACTCTCACCCCAAAACCATGGATGATCTCACCCAGCGGCGTCACATAAATGTTGAACAGAAGGGGTGAAAGGACCGACCCTTGCGGCACCCCCTAAGCGAGGCGCCTCGAGGTCGACCTCTGCCCCCCTGCCAACACAAACTGCGAGCGGTCAGAGAGGTAGGAGGAGAACCACCGTAACACAGTGCCTCCAATTCCTAACCCCCTCACCTTGCAGTGAGATGGGCAACAAATAAATTTAATAAATAAATAAATAAAAAATAAATGATCTGCAATTTGCAATTAATCCTCCCCAATCGGTTTCCGACAAGCAGAGTGAATTGAGGAAGCTATATTTGCTTGACAACAATGGGATTCACTTAATAACAATATGATTCATTTAAGACTGTGCTAATTCATTTACCACAACTGTGATAAAAATGGTCATAAAATTGGGTCTGATCACATGATGACTCACCTCATGACTGCCCTAACTAACACTGGAAATTACAGTCCCAATTGTGGTTATAAGTTGAAGACTATCTGTGTCTTATCAACAAGAGTTTCCCTGCTTATTTAATTCATTTAAAATACTCATATATCTCTTGCCATCAAAGTACTTCTGGTAGTATATATTGTCCAAATACAACAATTGCTGTGATTTATTTATATGATTCCTTTATTCCCCTTTATCCACTTTTTCTTTCCACTTTTTCCCCTTTATTAAGGATGGGTGAAGGGCAGTAAATCTGAGGTAAACCAGAATACATGGGAGAAATCAGTAAACAGGATTAAAAGACAGAAGATAAATCAGTGCTATAGCCAGGGAAGTTGCCAGAAGGTAGAACTGAACAATCTAGGAATAGAATTCATGAAGATCATAAATGCTTAATAGAACATATATTTGTGTCTTGAGGATCTAGTAACTGGCCTAGGTTTATGCTAAATAAATCCAGGCAATTGCCTAAAAATCTATTAATTTTTTATCCTTTCTGTTCCTCCATTATTTCCCCCAGTATCTAAATTCTAGATTTTAACTGCAGAAATATAGTTATAATAGGTAAACAATTTGTTATTTCTCTGTCTCTCCCTTTCTTTGTCTCTTGCACTCATTCTTTTTGAGTTTTTCAATTATTTTTTGTTCTACAATTAATTGTAATCCTTCTATTTCCTTTTCATTACTGTTTATTTTTTCCTGTTATACAAAAAAATCTTAATGAATGAATGATTAATAAAAACCTAAACAATCTCCAAACAAAAATACACATGTGGTTTGTATGGTGTAATTGTTAAGATTATGAGTCAAAGATAAACTACTAGGTTTCTCCAAACAAACTGAAACTACTCAGTTAATGTAAGGCATGGGTTAATATTATTAATTTCCCTTATTTGGTTGCTTAAAGCAAATTGAGCTCTTGAATTTTATTCATGTCAGATATATGAAATCAGTGGAATCCATAGCCATAGTCAAGTATTATGATGGACTTTAAATATGTATTTGTAAAGTATAGATCCCAGATAAAAAACATCAACCTTCTTCAGTCTGGTGCTCCAGATGTTGGACTCTAGCTAGAAATATGGCGCTGGATTGGAATAATTTGGAGGGTGCTACTTTGAGTGAATTTTGGTGAGTGTATAGTACTTACATCATATCCTCTCAAATCTGTTGGGAAATTTCTTAGTGTCTTATCAAAGAT